ACAAGGAGGGGCTGAGGGAGCTGGGCTTGTTCAGCCTGAAGAAGAGAAGGCTGAGAGGGGACCTAATAAATGCTTATAAATATCTGAAGGGTGGGTGTCAGGAGGATGGGGCCAGACTCTTTTCAGTGGTGCCCAGTGACAGGACAAGGGGCAATGGGCACAAACTGAGGCACAGGAAGTTCCGTCTGAACGTGAGGAAGAACTTCTTCCCTCTGAGGGTGACGGAGCACTGGAACAGGCTGCCCAAGGAGGTTGTGGAGTCTCCTTCTCTGGAGATGTTCAAGACCCACCTGGACGCAGTCCTGTGCAGCCTGCTGTAGGTGACCCTGCTTTGGCAGGGAGGGTTGGACCAGATGACCCACAGAGGTCCCTTCCAACCCTGAACATTCTGTGATTCTGTGAAGTGCGAAGTCTGAAGTGGTAACCTGTTGTGCGAGCAGGTGTGCTGTGTGGATGGGTTCTCCCGAGCTAATAGTGTCAGGTTTGGCGTAATACATGTTTACTGCTTACCTGAAATGGGTATCTTGTGATTTTTGTTTTGTTCTGCCTGCAGCAATGGCTTCGGGAACAGCGCTGGTTTATGATGAGGAGATGACCACTCATAAGCTGCTTTGGAGTGAGTAAGTCACTGATGTCCTTCTTACAAGTAGACTCTTCCTAGGGCTTTGGAGAAAAGTACTGAGTAAACACAGTTTTTGTGAATGTCGTAGGAAATATCTAGTGATAGATACCCTATCATTTGCCTAACAAATAGAAAGTATTTTCTTTTGGAGAAAAAATTTTATTCCCAGTTTGTATCCAGGTGGGGTAACAATAATCTGGAGCTGGATCTGAGAAGCTGTAGGCCTCCAGTCTGGTAGGCCTTAACAAGAAGTGTTAGTTTTAGGCATTTGAGTAGACCCTAAATGAAGTATTTTAAGTTAATTAAATTGTTTATAAAACTAAAGTATCATTGATCTTGGAAAAAAATATGTAGATATACTGACTCAGCTGAAACCTGTCAGTTAAATTCAGTTAGAAATTGGTATATGCTGCTTGCTTAAATTTACAGAAGTTAGACTGTGCCTTTTCAGTGCTCAGAGTCTACTCTTGTCTCCCAGCGCCACTCCTCCTCTGTTCACCTGCATTGTAATCTACAGCTTTTCATTTCAGCATTCCTGTGTCTGTAGTTAAGCATTGCTGCTGTCAGTGGTGACAGGGGAAACAAAAAATGATGCTACTGTGTTTCTTTTTTGTTTAAGAACTGTATACATTTTTTTTGGTTACATACTTTAGAACCAATTTTTGGCTCAATTTCAAAACCAAAAGTATTTAAAGCTTTTATTTTTCTTTTAATCTCACGTGTCCCTCTGTGAAGGTAATGAATCTTCTTACAAGGGGAAGATAAAAGCTAGGCAATATGAAGTGTATTTGTAGCTGTGCTGGTATGGTGTTATGGTAATATGATTATTGCTTATTTTTAGTCCTGTTTGTGATATTGAAGTGCCAGAAAGGCTGTCATCTTCCTACGAGCAGCTTAAACGTTACCATCTTGTGGATAGATGTGTCCGTGTGCCTGCCAGAGAAGGAAGCGAGGAGGAGATCCTGTTGGTTCACAGGTCTGAAACTTACTTTCCTCACCATTCATATTAATTCCGTGAAATAACAGATCTTATACCTCCAGGTCATACTTTGCTCCCTTTGAAAAAATCATGCTCCAAAGCTCAACGACTTCCAGTAATTTCAGTGGAAAATATGTCACACTTCAAGTTAGACAAATAACGTTGAGTGTGGTGCAGGGGCTGAATCTGCTCTTCCGCTAAATCCCCATTCTCGTTCTTTGGGCTCTTAAGTAACAGATGCTGATTATATGTAGGATTAAAAGTAAACTTCTAATAAAAATTGGGACAAGACTTTAAAAAGCGTAGAAAAATGTGTGTTTCTTTAGAAAGATTGTAACCTCTTCTTTCTCCCAAGCATCTCTGAGATAGAGTGAACCAAACAGGAAAACCTTCACAGCGATTTCTGCAGGGGGGAGTTCAGAGGAGCAGCAGCCTGCCCGTTTTGAAGTCATGGCAATGAAATCTGCTCTGGCATTTGTGTGGTGGTTCCGCAGCCAGCTGCAGATGATTCCGCATGCTGCTTGTGCGCTCGTTTGCCCCTGTTGGGGAGAAGCAAAGGGAGCCTTCTCTGCAAGGCAAGGGGAGTCGGGAGCAGAGCACGGTGACAAAGGAGCCAGAGGCAGTGGCTTTGTGGACAAGGGTGCAGTCCCACAATACCCAGGCGAGGTGAGCAGCGCGGGTCCAGTGATGGTAGCCGGATTCAGCTATGAGTTTAGATTGCCATAGTGACATGGCAGGTCTGAGGTCAAACTGGAGAGCCAGCCCACGGGTTGGGGTCCAGGTCCAGATTAGCAGGGTTCGTGGCCAGGCACGGACATGGCTACACAACATAGCTGCAGTGTAGCCAAGGGCAAGAGCCTTATCTTAAAAGCAAGTGCCAGTGGAAGGAGAGGGAGAAGTCTCTGCTGAGACTTCTTAGCAGAGCAGTTTGGAGGGAGTCTCTGCTGAGTCTCCTTTTAGCTCTCTCTTTCCAGGTGACCAGCTGTGCTATCTCTGCTGGTTCTGAACCCAGCAGCCAAAGCCCAGGAGGGAAGGGGTGCGCTCAGGGCCCTGACACCGGTGACGGGGGCCTTAGCTTGATCCCAAGTCGTGCTTGAATTTTCAGATTCCAGAACAGTATTTTTCCTAAGAACATACTTGTTGGTTAGAATGCAATTAGTGCTGTGTACCAGTATAATTTATTTGCATAGTAAATACATTGCTGATTGGGTACGGAAGAGGCCTCATCACTATTTCCACTTGAGTTGCTCCTGCTAGGTGACTGGGGACAAATGACTTCACTAAATCTTGTCTTTGTTTCCATAGGTAAGCTAGAGATAATAGAGCTCTTTGCTTTGTAAAACACTTTTAGATTGGAGCAAATTTGTAACTCCTATGAAAACACTGTTTGTGTTCACAGTTACTTATGAGGCTGCTGCTGAAGTTAAAC